CTCTCTCTCTCTCTCTCTCTCTCTCTCTCTCTCTCTTTCTCTCGCTCTCTCTCGTTCGCTCACTCTCTCGCTCACTCGCTTCGTCTCTCACTCTCTCTCTCTCTCTCTCTTCTCTCTCTCTCTCTCTCTCTCTCTCTCTCTCTCTCTCTCCTCTCTCTCTCTCTCTCTCTCTCTCTCTCTCTCTCTCTCTCTCTCTCTCCTCTCTCTCTCTCTCTCTCTCTCTCCTCTCTCTCTCTCTCTCTCTCTCTCTCTCTCTCTCTCTCTCTCTCTCTCTCTCTCCCTCGCTCGCTCTCTCACTCGCTCTCTCTCTCTTCTCTCTCTCTCTCTCTCTCTCTCTCTCTCTCCTCTCTCTCTCTCTCTCTCTCTCTCTCTCTCTCTCTCTCTCTCTCTCTCTCTCTCTCTCTCTCTCTCTCTCTTCATTCTCTCTCTCGCTCGCTCTCTCTCTCTCTCTCTCTCTCTCTCTCTCTCTCTCTCTCTCTCTCTCTCTCTCTCTTCTCTCTCTCTCTCTCTCTCTCTCTCTCTCTCTCTCTCTCTCTCTCATCTCTCTCTCGCTCGCTCGCTCACTCTCTATTGCTCGCTCACTCGCTCGTTCTCTCTCTCTCTCTCTCGCTCTCTCTCTCTCTCTCTCTCTCTCTTCCGCTCGCTCTCTCTCTCTTACTCACTCACTCACTCTCTCTCTTACTCTCACTCTCTCATTCTCTCTCTCTCTCTCTCTCTCCCTCTCTCTCTATCTCTCTCTCCTTCCCTCCCTCTCTATCTATCTTTAATAGAAAACTCTCACTCTCTCTCTCTCTCACTCACTCTCTCACTCACACTCTTTTTCTATCTCTCGCTCTCACTTACTCTGTCTCTCTTTCTCACTCGCCTTCCCTCCCTCTCTATCGATCTGCAATAGAAAACTCTCACTCTCTCTCTCTCACGCACTCTCTCTCTCACTCTCTCATTCACTCACTCACTCACACACACACACACTCTCTCTCTCACTCTCTCTCTCTCTCTCTCTATCTATCACTCTCTCACTCACTCTCTCTCTCTCTCTCTCTCCCTCTCTCTCTCTCTCTCTCTCTCTCTCTCTCTCTCTCTCTCTCTCTCTCTCTCTCTCTCTCTCTCTCTCTCTCTCTCTCTCTCTCTCTCTCTCTCTCTCTCTCTCTCTCTCTCTCTCTCTCTCTCTCTCTCTCTCTCTCTCTCTCCCTCTCTCTCCTTCCCTCCCTCTCTATCTATCTCTAACAGAAAACATTAGGAGAAAAAAAAAAACATTGAAATAAAGAGAGACAGTCCATAGTTTTTTACGAATCTGAGTCTATTCATTATTCCTAATTGAAAGTGTATATTTACAGCATTTACAGTTTTTAAAAGGTTATATAAGGGTGAAAATGCACTCCTGTAATATCAGCAAAAGATTTTTTAAATGTGTACATTACAAATCTGCAAATAATTTCTAAAAATGTATTAAGGTGAAAGTGTGCATCTATCTGCAAATAATTTCTAAAAAATATATATTTAAGGGTGAAAGTGTACATCTACAAAATCTGCAAATAATTTCTAAAGAATATATTTAAGGGTGAAAGTGTGCTTCTACAAAATCTGCAAATAATTTATAAAAAATATATTTAAGGGTGAAAGTGTGCATCCACAAAATCTATAAATAATTTATAAAAAAATATACTTAAGTGGTGAAAGTGTACCTCTACAATATCTAAAAATCACACAAAAGTTATTCTGAAATTGAGTATGATATGGGAGGAATGTAATAATATGAATATGATGATATGTTCATATTTTGTTCGAGTAGGATGAACGAAAGCAAGATGGCTGAAGCGTTCGAAAAGAAGCCGAGAGTCCGCTGGCCAAGTATTTTGCGGCAGGTAGGTCATTTTTATGATTTTCTCCTATCTTGTTTTTGTTTCCGTTTGTGTTTTCTTATCACTGTTTTTATTGTCATTATCATCATTGTAGTGGTGATCTTTAACTGTCTTGAATTCATCTATTTTTTTCTGTATTCAATTTCCTTTTATATATATATATTTTCTTCTGTAGTTCTTTCATCTTAACTTTTTTCATTTTTTCTCAGCTTAATATTTTTTTCTTTCGCTCCATTCCCCACATTATCCCACGCTCTCCCCCTCTCCTCTCTCCCTCCTACCCTTTCGTCCCCTCCCACCATCCCCCTCCTCCTTTCCCTCTTCCTCGCTCCCTCCTTCCCATCTCCTCTTCCCTCCCTCCCTCCCCCCACTCCCTCTTCTTCCTCCTCCTCCTCTCTCCTCCTGTCCTTCCTCCCTTCCGTCTCTCCTCTCCTACCCTCCCCTCCCCTCCTCTCCCTCTCCCCGTCCTCTACCCTCCCTCTACCCTCTCCCCTCACCCCTCCTACCCTCCCTCCCTTCTCCCCTCCTTCCTCCCTCCATCCCTTTCCTCTTCTCCCTCTTTCTCCTTCTCCTCCTACCCTTCCTACCCTCCCTACCCTCCCCTACCCTCCTCTTCCCCTCTCTCCCTCCCTCTCCACCCTACTCCTTCTTCCACCTTCCACCCCCCTTCCCCACCCTCCCCTCTCCCACCCCCACCCTCCCACCCTCCCTCCTACCCTCTACCCTTCCCTCCCCACCCCCCCCCTACCCACCCCTCCCTTCCCCCCCACCAACCACCCTCCTACCCCCCTCCCTCCCTCCCTACCCTCCTACCCTCCCTCCCTTCCCAGGTTAGCGTTCGGTTTCATCGTGGGAGCCTCCAAGACCGAGGTCGGGATGGTGGTCGGGTGGTCGGCCATCTTGCCCAAGTTGCAAGCCGACAACAGCTCGGGCTTCGACGTCGGGGAGAGTGACGTCACGTGGCTGGGTGAAAATGTTGTTGTTGTGTTTTTTGTTTTTTTTTTGGTGTTTTTTTTTATTCAATTGGGTATTGTTGTTGTTGTTGGTTATTTTGTTTTTGTTGTTTTGTTTGTGTTTTGTTGTTGTTGTTATTGTTTTGTTTAGTTTTTGTTTTTTGTTGTATATTGGTTTTGTTTGTTGTTTGTTTGTTGTTTTTTTGTTGTTGGTTGTTTGTTGTTATTGTTGTTGTTTGTTTTGTTGGTTGTTGTTTTGTTTTGTTTTGTTTTGTTTGTTGTTGTTGTTTGTTGTTGTTTTTGTTGTTATTGTTTTGTTTGAAAGTTTGTTTTTTGTTGTGTTATTGGTCTTGTTCCTTGTTTTGTTGTTGTTGTTTGTTGTTTGTTGTTGTTTGTTTTGCTGTGTTGTTTTTTGTTTGTTGTTGTTCATGTTTTTATTGTTTATATTGGTCATTGTTGTTTGATTGTTTTGGATTTGTTGTTTTGTTTTACATTGTTTCGTTTCTTGTGTTTTGTTGTTGTTGCTTATTGTTTGTTTGTTTTTATATTGATTATTGTTGTTGTTTTTAATTTTCGCTGTTTATTGTTTTTGTTGTTGTATTGGTTGATTGTTTTTTGTTGTTTTTTTTTGTTATATTGAGTATTGTTGTTTTTTGCTTGTTACTGTTGTTGTATCTTGTAAAGAATGGGGGGATGAGTTGTTTTTTTGTGTTGTTATTATCGCTCTTATTGTATTGTTATTATATTTATTATTATTATTATTATTATCATTTGATGATAATGATTTAATAATAATAATAATGATAATAAATAATAATAGTATTATATCATTATCATTATTATTATTATTATTATTATCATTATTATTATTATTGTTATTTATTTACTATCATTATTATAATTATCAGTGTTATTGCTTCACTATTATTATTATTACTACTATTGCTATTCTTTTTATTATCATTATACCTTAGATTATCATTATAGCCATCCTTATTATTGCTTTTATGATTAATATTATCATTATTGTTATTACTACTGCTACTATCACTTACTTCTATTGTGGCAACTCGTACTATAAACAGTTAGCCAATATTGGTTGCTATTGCTAATATTCTGTCATAATTATCATCATCATGCATCGTCATCATCATCATCACCACGTCATTCATCATATCACCATCATCAATCATCATCATCATCATCATCTTCATCATTCATCATCATCATCATCATCATCATCATCATCTTCATCATCATCATTATCACCATCGCATCATCATCATTCTTCATCATCATCATCTCTCATTCATCATTATCATCATCATTATATCCACCACGTCATCATCCTTCATCATCATTCATCAAGCAGCGGCTTTGTATACATTATCATTCAACATCATCATGAATGTCATCATTATACTAATAAATACTGATAGAGTAATAATATCGTATTAATTCGTATCATTATTATTATTATTTTATCATTATTACATATTATTATTATTATCACTATCATTGTTATTATTATTTATCATTATTATTATTATTATTATCTTATTGTTATTGTTATATTATTATTTATTATCATTTATTATATTGTTATTATTATTATTATTATTATATTATTTATTATTATTAATTATTATTATTATGATTATATTATTATTATTATTATTATTATTATCTATTATTATATATATTATTATTATTATTAATTATTATTATCATTATATTTATATTATTATTATTATTCATCATTATTGTCCACTGTTGATATTTCGAGCGATGGGGTTTTTGTGATGTAATGAGAGAGTGACGTCATAACTGAGTGACGTCATGTGAGACTGACGAAATACGAGAGTGACGTCAGAGAGGAATGACGTCATAGAGGAGTGACGTCATAGGAGATATGGATAGGCTAGCTTATGAAATATTTTTGTATTTCTGTTTCGTCGGAAAGAAGTTTATTGTGAAGTGATAGTAATAAGCATAATAAATGATAATTGTGAACTAAGATGATAACGATGTTCCTGGTGATAAAAATGATAACAGTAGTAATGATTATAAAGATAGCAGTAATGATGATGATAATAGTAATAATGATAATAATAATAATAATAATAATAATAATAATGATAATATAATAATGATGATAATAATTAATAATAATAATAATAACAAT